TTCAAGGCTGAAAACATACCATTGAATTATAATTAGATTTATATTTCAAAGGAGGAGTTATTTTTAGAATCTTGTCACTCTTTCACTTCCATATTAGGAAGCATTAAATGATTTTCCGTAATGCGTAGAGTTACAAAGGTATGTACGACTGGAACCTAATTACATCAATCTCTGTAAGTATTTAATGCGAGACCGAAGGTTTTGGCATTGTCTCTTGCTGAATAACGTGTTCCAATAAACATCTACCGGAACCATCCGCAGTTTGGTCCACACCCCTCCCTTGTAGAGTGGGGATGTGAACTGTTATAACCACCAGCCAACCTTTAAATAAATCTTTTGATAACTTATTATGGCTTTTGACTGCATTTTTTAAAGATGAATACAACAATGATAACAGGGATGTAGTCCTGTTATATATATATATATATATATATATATATGTATGATCAAAGAATCACTTTATACTTTATTAAAATGGAAAAATGCGTCCAAAAGATAAATATAAAACTCGATTTTCAATAATTTTGGAACATATGAAGGGAAATAAAGTAAACGCATGATGACACGATTATAAAGCCATAAGAATAACTACAATAGGGATATTTATGTTTTCCTTATTTTGACAATATTATTTCATTTTATTTTGAGAAGTGCTTGAAAAATTTATTCTTCATTATTTACGATGCAAATAACAATATTTTAGAGAATTATAACTTCTGAACTAGGTTTATAGCGATTTTAATTTCCTACTACTCAATTATTAATAAATAAAATTTTTATAAATATAAAAGGCATTGTTGTTTTAAAAATAGTTTTAACCATTTCTGGATATGAAAAGATAAACTTATATTGTAAATTATTTATAGAAATAAAGTAAGTTATTCACTCCCAATTTATGATCCAAGTTTTAAAAAAAATTGGTATCGCATGAAATGACTTATCTTTTGTTTACGCAGTTTATATTTTCAGAAGTTCGGAAAAATTAGTAATAATTTGTTATAAAAGAAAAGAAAGATTTTCTGTTTACAACTGATTGAGATTTTCCAGAAGGAATTTACTAACACAACTAGAATCATAACTTTTATTCATTGTTTACTGGTGTTGTCTAACCTGTTGGTACTATATTTTCTAAACGAGTCGATGAAAAACATTTTGCCTCTAATAAATAATTCAATTTGCTTTAGTGTCCTGTTCGAAAATATCTTACTGACATTTCAATTTCCCCTGTAGTTTGTGAGTGTAAAACTAAATATAAATTTACACAAAATAATAATAATAATAATAATTGCAAAAAAATTATTGCATTGTTTTCTTTTTAAAACTACGTATCAATTTGAAATTTGTTTCATAGACTTTGCTTCTCATATGTATATTTTAATCTGAAAGCATGATTATTAGTAAATTCTTACAGTTTAAGGTAATACTCAATAAATAAAACAGTCAAATGTAAACTAATTTTTTCAAATTATTTTTTTTATTAATAATAATAAATACTTTCAGTTTATAGTTTTGCCAGCCTCTCTAAATCTTTTTTTCAAAAGTACTGACAATTACAAATTAATTGGAATTCCCTTACCGTCGGGACAACCAAGGGAGATTTTCGTGGTTTTCCTCTTTATATAACGCAAATGCGGGTTAGTTCCATCGAAAAGATCTCCATGAAGGCAAATTCCCCCCAATACTTGATCCAGGAGTTTCCTTGTCTTCTGAATTGGGTTCAAAGTTACAAGGCTACGGAGTTGACCATTGATCAGAATTGGGTCGTCAGTTCAACTCCAGTAATAAAATAAAATAAAATTTAAAGTAATACTAACTATTTAATTAAAGTAAATTTAAAATTAAAAACGCATTTAAAATTTTGTGTTTATCACATCAATAAGTAAATAGTTACAGTTTAAATTTAAAATAACGAAAATCATGAAAACTGCGTATTTTCGTCGTTTATCTTATTTCTGATAGGGCGAACGTGTGAAGGTAGCATAAGCTTGAAGATATGTTATCATTCGTGGCATTAGTTGTAGTATAATAAAAAAATATGATGAATTTAAATTTTTAATATTGATTTAATTTATTAATCTTAATACTGATTTAATTTATTTAATATAATAATCAATTAAATTTTGTTTAAACGAGTAATACTTATCTAATATCAATTAAAAGTGAGAAAAGTTTTCTGAACGAAATATATTTCAGTATTTCCATTATTTATCCAGAATTCAATATGTCCATCACTTATCCATTTCCGGTAAGCAGAACGCAATTTTAATCGTGTATATCAATTAGTTAAATGTTTCTCGAGTTCATAATTATTTCGCGAATTCTGTCATCTAAACAGTAATGATGGAATTTTACTACATCTTGCATGAAGTGTGTGTGTTATTTTAGTAAATAATTTGACCCTTATTGCTAAATTATAAACTCGCTATATTCTTATCAGAGGTACTGCTCAATTTAAACAGTTTTCTTCTATTTATAGCTATGTAAATGAAAATATTAGAAGGAAATTATCAATTTCACTTTTTGCTAAACTCTAAACTCACCATATTTTATATTTTGCTAAACTCTAAACTCGCTATACTATATATGATCGGATCTTCACATTCTAAGACTCAATCTCAGGGGTTTTAGGGGGCGACCTCAAGTATGCTGATAAATATCTAATTTTAAAAAAGTCGTATATTTAAAATTCGATTTCTCAGCACTTTTTCGGACAATTTCGGTCAAATTTTGTATTTTGCCATGTAAAATTACTTTATTTAAAATGATGCAAAAATTTTATAACTTACAATTTAAAATTGTCTTGACTGCTATTAAATAAAATAATAAAAAATAATAATTTTTTGCAAAAAGTTATTTTTTACATGGAATCAATTTTGGATAAACGAATTTAATAATTAAGTGCAGAATTCATTTAAAAAGTCTTCAATATGTGGCAAAATAAGCAAAAAGTAAAATTAGCATTAATGGGGTTAAAGGGGATCGCTGGCCTAACCTAACAATGGGGACCATATTTCCCAGATTGCGGCTACTGAATATATTTCGACAGTCGAAACTCTGAATCCAATGAAAAAACTATATATTAATTCAGAGAATTTTTGTGTCTGATTTCGTAACTTAAAATATTGTTTGCACTAATTAATTAGCATATTTGAAATCACCCCTCCGAACCAATAAGATTGAGCCCTTGAAAGATCCAATTGTTAGATCAAAAGTTATTCAGGGTGGTCCGCTTATTTTTTTGCCCTCTGTATATCTAATCTCAAACAATTTTTTCAATTGAGATCTATGTATATAGTAAATAAGAAGAAGGAAATTTATGCATTTCGAAATTATTAATTGCGAATTCGAAATCATTAATTATTAATTTCGTCAAAATTATTAATTATTAATTCCGTCAAAATTATTAATTTCGTCAAAATTATTAATTATTAATTTCGTCGTATTTCGTCAAAAATGTATAAAATGAAATAAAAATATTTTTATTACAGGTACGGCCGCAGTCTTGAAAACCGAAGGAGTGATCTTTCTGTAAGTTATTTTGTTTTCTTAGTTTTGGGGATAAGTTATTATTTTATACTACATATAAAAAGCTAGAATATAAAAACAATTTAGTCATTTGTTCAATTAATACATATTAGAAAAACAAAATTAAATGCTAATCTATATTTCTCACGATGATTTAATTATATGAGACAATCTAGAGTTTTTCCAAACTATGAATTAACCTAGATTAAATTAATATTATAAAGTTACCATCGTAAAGCTATTGTTAATATTATTCTGCAGTTGGTGAAAAAGTTTAAATAAATTAACAAATTAATTTCAATCTATTCTTAATTAGTAATATTGTTAACAAAATGTAAAGTGTTTTCTTACGAAAATAAATATCGTAATAATGATAAGGTTATAAATCTTAATTAAAATTTTTCTAATTAATTTTCCTTCATGTAGCCTAATTGTAAGATTTTAATTAGTAGCATTAACCTGCTAATCTTGTAAACATATCGCATTATTAAAAATGGCTGCGGAACTACTTAAATTGCATAATTCTTAATAATTTTGAAGCCTTTATTTGCATATCATAAGTGAAGGTGTAATTCAACATGTTATTAGGGAAATTGCATTTCCGCGGAAGAAGTTTAGGAAGCAAAGACTGGACATTCACCCTAAAATATAACAAATTAATTATAAATATCACAAATAATTATACAAGTAAAATCTAAAAATAATCATAGTTAATTATCACATTGTTATCTATTCTAAAACTTATACTAATGAATATTTCTTGTTATACATGATAGTCATAGATTTATTTAGTTTCAAAATTATATGTTCCATTAATAATTCAAATTTGAGGCATACATTTTTGAAAATGCTTAAAATTGCTTTTATTAATTTTTCCTTGTGTGTATTTTGTGTTGTTTTATTTTAAAATGAAAACGTAATTTATTAAGAAAAATTTAAAGCCATTCTTAAAATATTTGGAAACTTCAAAAAGTGATGCTTTTAATTTCTCATGTAGCTATTTTAATTTTTAAGCAATTTTTTTGTTTACTTTTAATAACATTAATAAAACTTTGATTTGTTTCAGTGTTGTTACCTATAAGCATTTAAAATTTTGAAAAAATTTAAAATCTTTTTTTAAAGTTGCTTATTTTCTTACGTTTTTCTTGTGCACTGTAAAAAATACCGAATCAAAGTACCGGTACTTAGGATGCATCATCCGCAAAGTCCATTTCTATTGAAAAACATTATACCGTAATTTTTACAGTAATAATTACCGTAAAATCACTGAATGTAAAAAATACGGTTTATTTGATTTTTTTCCGTGATACGTTCAGGAAAAAATGGATTCTACGGTTAAAAGTACCGGCACCCTGAGTACCGGTACTTTTTACCGTAACTTGATCCGGAATTTTTTACAGTGTGTGTTACAAGTGCAATTTACTTTCAATATAGTGTTTCAATGTTGAAAACAAAAATTTAGATTTTATTAAGACAAATTAGAGTAAAATAATATATTTTATGATATTTATGTGGTTTTCTTAAATAAGCTGTGGGACACATTGCTTTTAAGTCTTAAAAAATATGAAATAATTGATCATTGAGAAAAGAGCATTCAAAATTTCAGCATCTTTTGAGGTTTAACAGATAATAAATGAAACTTCACGTTATCATTCAGATATGATAGCTTGATAGTTTTAAAAGTTTATTTTTATTTCAAGTATAAATATATGTGGAACTAAGAACATTGTTTTTTTTTAAATAATTAAACTAATCCCTAAATTTGCAATGTTCTTTTTTCTTAATATGAAATTCATGAGAATTTGTAGTGAGAGAGAGGGGGGGGAGAAGAATTCAAGATTCACACGATTTGAAACATTCATAGAAAAACATTCAAGAAGTTGTAGAGGGAGAGGGGGACATTCAAAATTCACGAGAGTTAAAGCATTTAGAAATTAAATTAGCAAGAGAGAGTGATATTCAAGATTCATAAGAGTTGAAGCATTCATAAATAAAATTTTCAAGAAGTTGTAGAGAGGGAAAGGCATTCAAGATATTCAAGTTAAAGCATTCATAAATAAATTCACAAGTTGTAAAGAGAAAGAGAAGCATTCAAGATTCACAAGAGTTGAAACATTCCTAAATAAATTATAAAGATGAAAATTATCGGTATAAAATGCGTTTAAATATTAAAATAACATTTAATTATTTTATTAAGAATTTTAAAAATAATGCAAAAAGAAAAAATGAATTAAAAATTTCCTAGTATCATTTTACATTAATCTAAGTTAGAAATTTAACAATAAACTAGTAATAAAAAAGCGAACAGCAGAAGAGGTTTTTAAAAACTATCTGATTTTTCCATCCCTGACTTGGAAACAATCAGCATGTTGTTCTTTAGTTTGGTATTTAAAATGTTGGTTAAAGTTCCCAAAAGTATAGAGTATGCTTTGTGCTATGTAGACTAAAGCGAAAAAGCAACGCTATAAAAGCAAAAAGGAAAGTACAAAAATGGATATATTATAGTTTCGGTTCACTAAGCAAGAACCTCAATCAATGTCTAAACACCAAATGATTAGTGTTCAGACTCTAAGGAAGGTTCTTGTTAGCCTAAAGCCCAGAAAAACCTCAAATATAAAATTATGCATCCAAAAGAACATACTAATAACATAGTTCAACATTTTCAATATTTTGAAAAAATGGAAAGAAACCTCGAGTGACTTATCAATATTGCGTTATTTGTAATATTTTATTCATGCATTTTTAATATTTTGACTTATCTTTATTTATCTGCTGTCTTATCTTTGTAACAAATTCTAAATAATTTAATACGTAGAAAAATGTGAATCAAAATTAAAAGACAAATTTAAGATTCTAAACTTTATTAAAACTTAAAATAAATAATAATAAAAATATTTGTGCAATTCATGTATCCCCAAAAAGTAAATGAATATAAATATAATAAAGCAATTGACGGTTTCGGTTAATAATCATTTTTGCTTCGGATTAATAAAAAAAAATTTAGGTACTTTCTTATAGAATTGAAACGTACTGTTAGATGAACCTATAAGCTTAAACTTATTAAATTTTATTCCCTAAACATTTTCATAGTTTTTAATTTTTGCAGTTTTTTATATATTTATTTTTGTTTTCGAAAGATCTTATAATTATCCAATGAATTAGATAAATGTATAGAAAATATTCAAAATGATAGTCTTAAATTGATAAATTAATAACATATATGATGCAACGCATTCAGTTCGACAATAATAGTGTTTAAAGTTATATACTTCACACTATGTTAAACTAAGATAATCTTAAAAATAAAAGAAAGAAAGAAAGAAAAAGAAAAATGTTATGCTTTTTATCTGTCTTTTCATTCATATGATGATTTCTTTTTACTGTGAACTATCTGAGACCTATAATATCTATTAGAAACCAAAACTAATAGGCAATTAACCTTCCTTTATTATCTATTGTAATGACTGGAGACGAGCTGTTTGTTTTTCTACAACAATGACCAAGACATAACATGCAAGTTCAATAATCAAAATATTTTGACTTTATGACCCGTCCGAAGCATTCATATCGGCTCCCAAGATATAAAAAAAAACGAAGCAATCAGAGCTTGAATATCACCGTTGGGCATTGTTTTCTTAGAATAGCCAATTGGTTTTAAAACCGATTCTTAAGCCATATATCCCGAGCTGTAAAAACGATGTCCGCGAGATGATAAAATATTGTTCTAAAACAATTGTCTCAACATTTTATCTCATTTTCCTTGCAGGCTATTCGTTCTGAAAAATCTGCCGTTAAAAGGGGAAGGAGATAAAAAAGGCTTCCGCAAGGAAACTGTTCGACAAGATCTAGCCAACAGTGCAAACGATTTGAAAAGTTTCCTGAAAGATGACGAGAACTGTTCGAAATATATCGATTGTTAGAAATTATCGTCTGTTTTAATTTATATTTTAACTCTTTCCAGATTTTGTACACGTATGTTCCAATAATAAAGTCTTCGATGTGCTGTTTTTGACAGTTGTTTGTGTCTTAGGAGTTTCAATTCTTTTGTTGATTTTTTTTAGTTCATGATTTTTGTAAAATTATCAGCTCAAATTGATATCTTAAAAAGTATTGCACTTTTGAGAAGATAACGTTTCTTTTAAACGTCAATCTCTAAAAAATACTTTATACGTTATCACACTTTATTGAAACAATGTAATACTTTTAAGGAAGAAAAAAAAAATTGAATTGTTCCACGTTAAAAGTGTCCAAATTTCAGAATTTTTTTTCTCGTGAATTATAAATGAATTTCTTGAGATTTTTAGATCGATCAGAGATAATTGAGAGTTTAAATTATTGCAGTTTTAATTATGATGATTGAAGAACCAAATTTCAAAATTAAAATGAGAAATTGAACAGAAATTTGAAAGAAATCTTTACCTTCGCTATGAATAAATTATGAATTCGGTTAGGTATCTAAGCATGAACACATATCTTTCAAAAGGTACAATATTTCTTTGTTTTAGAGTCTTTTAACTGTAGCAGTCTCTCAAAAAATAGGGTCGATGTTGAACCATAATTTCGTGCAACTTTTTTGAACTCCATTTCTGTTTAACCAATTAATTACACTGGGAGAAAAAAATTTTGTTATACCTACGCTATTACTTTATATATTGCCTAATTCGCGTGTGGAGATTTCAAATCTAAAATTAGTTTTGTTCCTAAAGTCATAGACTTTTTTTTATAACTGGCATTTTTTTAAAATTTTTTGTCGAAATGTACAAGTTTATATAACAGGGGATCTCGCAAATGTTGAGACAAACTTCTAGAGGAGTTAGGACACATCCTCAGGATTAAAAGGGCATAAGAATCCATGCCTGTAAATGTCGTCGTACGCCGCAAGGGGAACTTCCCTAGTATTATTCCTCGTCATCCCCCTTCCCTTTACCCAATTTCCGTTTAGCCCATTATTTACACAGAGGAACACATTTTTTTGTTGTTACATTTACGCAAATACTTGATCTTATCTAATTCGGGTGGAGCTAGGAGAAACAATACAATGGCAGATTTGAAATCAGCGATACAAAAGTATCTAAGATAAGGTAAGAAAAACCCCATGCAATAGGAAAAAAACCTAATGTCAGTTCTGTTTTTACAACAATATGGAGCAATTTAGCACCATATTACCATAAATATGTACAACTTAGCACCATATTATTATAAACTTAATATGGGGCGACTTAGCGCCATATTATCGTAAACTTGAAATTGCACAATTTTGCCTCATATTGTTGTAAACTTAATAAAGTAAACTTAGCACCATATTATCGTAAACGTAATGTGGTGCAACTTAGCACCATATTATTGTAAACTTAATATGGTGCAACTTCACACAATTTTATCTCAAAGTTAATATGGTGCAAATTTACTGATAATTTGCAATTTATAATTGATAAAAATTTCTAACAATAAACAAGGTAAGTACACAACTCCTTTATGACTTATTAATATTAAAATATAAACTTATAAAAATAATTTATCAAATTTTTTCAGTGTTTTTTATTGTCTTATGTTTTATTCTTCACACTTTCAGAAAAGTTTTATTGTGATATCTCACAATAATCATGAGAAAATAATAATATACATTTCTACTTTATTGCTGTAATGATATTACTATTACGACCAATTTATTGAAAAATTATTAAGTCATCAGCCGTGATTCATAATTTTCGCAGAATAGATTCGGCAGCATAACAATGATGTTAGCTAGTTAGTCCTGGCTGTAAAGATTACTAAAATCAGCTAAAATTTTACGATTAGTTTCTAATTCTAGACCAATGTTATTAATAAGCAAATTTAGTGTACTGGGTTCTGATAATAGGAAACTTTTATAACTTAAAAACGGTGATAATAGTTTCAAACTTAATAACTGTCCATAAAAACATGCATTTCATTTTATTAATTTTTAATGATTCTAAATTAAATGCATTTGCAATTTCATTATAACACTTCAAATAATTTTAGTCATAAAAACTTTATTTTAAAATTAATTTTTTATTGTAAAATAATTTCCAAATATTTATTTTTAAAAAAAATTCTAACAGTTTACTGTTAAATCAGTTAACACATTATTTAAATTAAATTTATAACAGTTTATAGCGTTATATCAGAGTAATTATTGCATGTTTTAACAACTTTTATGTTGATAGAAATCAAAAGCATGTTAAAAATTGCAACATAAAACATCAATTAAGGTTTAATATTAAATTTATATTTTCAATGAATAATTCGCAATTAAAAAATTCATCATAATATGCTATTCATGAATCGTTTAGTAACTACACCTATAATGAAAAACAAAATAATAATAATGAAAGCCATGAATGTTTCTGATATTTTATTACTAAATTTTGGTAATATTTAAAAAAAAAATGCATTAGAAAAAATATGTCAAAAATATTCAGCGTTTTCAAATTATTTTCTGTCTTTTATCATAAGAACAAATTTTTCCGCTGTTTTGATCCGAAGCATTGAAAGTATGTCTATAAAATACAAAATAATAATTTAAAGTTTAAGGTATAATAAGGATTTAAAGTATAAGTAATAATATTTATGTATAAGGTTCGAATTATATTAATGACCTAGGTTTTTATCCAATATTTTATTCCGTTTTGTATTTATTAATTCATTTTTTAAAAAAATTTAATACAGAGGTAGATAATATTTTGAAGTTAACGAGTAAAGAATTTTTGAAGTTTATAACTCATTTTTCTTGTTTATATTCTTATGTTTTCATTAGCTTTTAAATAAAATGGTAATTATCGATTATCAATCGGTAATTATCGATTTATCAGATGCAAATACATGCTATAAAAATGCGGAATTCAATCAAAACTTTGTTCTTAATTTCGAGCACAAATTTTTTTACATATTTCACTATTCAGTTTTTCCTTAAACCATTGCCGTTTTCCTAAATTAGATGAATATTTTTTCTCCTCGCGCAATGGAAATCTGCATAAGTTTTTTTCGAGCCTCGGTGGCTGAAAGGATATGGCATTCGCCTCCCCAATGAAGTGACCAGGTTCGAATCCCAGCGATGCCTGGTGTATACGAATTCTGCTCCCGACCCGCACTGTGCAGACGTAAAATATCCTCAGGAGGAGATGAATAATGAGTTAGAATCTTCTAGCCGCTTTGCTAACCGAGTAAGGTTTTCGGAATTTTCCTCTCTATATAACGTAAATGTGGGTTAGATTCTTGAAAAAGTTCTCCGCGAAGGCCAAATGCTTGATCGAGAAGTTCCCTTGTCTTTTAGGTTGTGTTCAAAATAATAAGGCTACACCGTTTATGAAATGAAATTTAAGAAAAAAAATTTAGAAATCAAATTTGTTTCATAATTGCTGTAAACGTTCCATTTTCATTTGAATTAGGTTAAAAATGACAAAAATTTAATAAATAAATGAAAATTAAATTTAAAAAAAATACATTAATTAGGCTGGAAATCTACTACTTTTTTAAACGATAAACTTATAGAAACAAATTCCTGTCTTAACAAACGAAAAAAAAAGAAAAAGAAATTCTAATTATTCTCAAAATATCTTTATTTCGATTTATTCATAGTCCCATTAGCAGCGTAAACTTGAAAGAAATTAGGGTGACGCGTCCGCAAAAAATACTATCAACACTGACTTTATTTTTTTTTCTTCAAAAAAATCGAAACAAAAAAAAATAAACAAAAACGTACACAACAACGTTGAATGAGCCCATTCTTCTAATCAGGACAAAACAGCACACGATAAACATTTCTCTCCAGTTGAAAATATAGAACTATGCCGCCAAGTTAATTACCCTCTGAGAGTCTCGTCTCAAACTTGTGGGTGATTCAATTTATAAGACTTGTTTGGTTCTTTGGGGCTTTCGATTATGCAGCCAACATGCGAAGATGAAATAGGACGATGCTGGAATAACAAAATGGCTAAACTGACCATTTCTCTTTTAGAACTTCACTGCTAACCGTGTGAAAGGGGAATAACCCTCTACTGTTTCACTTTGCAGTCGGTGATCACGACTACTCCATCTTGTCCAGTTTTCTAGCTCGGATCTATGAAGGTTATAGATATTTTTAAGAGATAAGCTGTAAATCCTTATCGTGTAATGAGACCTGTGTTTTGAATCTATTTTTCTCACTCAAATAGAAAGAATTAAGTGATTTATCACGCTCGGTAGCGAACACGACTTTTTGACAAGTGTAATAAAAGTACTTATAAAAAAAAAAATTTTTATTGGGTGCAATTTTAAATCGTCGTAAATGATTAATTTCTGTTTATTTAAAAATTTTGGAATCCAAGTTTAGGAAACGAAAGTCTCAATAAAAACATGCAGAACAATCAGTCAAAAAGAATATAAGAGAAGAAGTGCATCTCTATTTTTTAACTTCGGCAGTATAGATTATTTACGAAAAAAAGTTCGATTTCTTAATTTAGATTTATCAATCATTTTTTATTTAGTTTTGATTTTACAAAAAGTTAACATTAATTAAATTAACGTTCAATAACTCTTAATTTGAAATTAAAATTGAAGAAAAAGAAAATTGCCAAAAAAAAAAAAATATGCAAAATGATCAGTGAAACAAGTTAAGATCAGTTAAATAAAGTCTTAATAAAAACATATAAAACAATCAGTCAAAAAGAATATAAGAGAAGAAGTGCATATCTTTTTCTAACTTTGGAAGATAAGATTATTTAAGAGAAAAAGTTCGATTTTCTTAGTTTAGATTTATCAATTATTATTCAGTTTTGATAAAAAAAAAGTTACATTTAATTAAATTAAAGTTGAAATTTTATATATTAATATATATAATTATATCAAACATGGAGACAAATTAGCTTTCGTGGAGGACTTTTTTGATGAGACTAACCTGCATATGCGTTACACGGAGAAGAAACCACGAGAAACTTCCACTGTTAGCCCAACAGCGAGGCGATTCTATCCCATGATCCGCTACTACTGAGGATATTTTACTTGCGGTAGGTGCAAGCC